GGGGCGCCGGGCCCGCGCTCACGAGCCTGCTCCGCCGCAGAAGTGCCTGCGTCTGGACCCGGACGCGCCTGTGTGGGCCTCCAAGCAACGGGTCCTGTGCACCCTCAATCACAGCCTGCAGGACGCGCTCAACTACGGACTCTTCCAGCCGCCCTCCCAGGGCCGTGCCGGCAAGTTCCTGGACGAGGAGCGGCTCCTGAGGGAGTACCCGCCCAACCTGGACACGCCCCTGCCCTACCTGGAGGTGAGGGGGGCGCGGCTGCAGGGCCCGGAGCGAGGCTGGGGACCCGGGGGCGGGCGCACGAAGGTCACTGCGGTGAGGACCATGCACTGGAGACATTGGGCTGGGAGCCGGAGGGCTGTGTGTGCGTGAGCAGTGAGTGAGCTGTGAGAGTCGTGTAAGGCGTGTGAGCAGTGTGTATGGTGTGAGTAGTGTAAGTGGTGTGAGCAGCGTGTGCCTGTGAGCAGTGTTAGTGGTCTGAGCAGTGTGAGCTGTGTGTGTGAGCAGTTTAAGTGTGTGTGCATGCAAGCCATGTGTGAGTAGTGTGTGCCTGTGAACAGTGTAAATGGTGTGTGCGTGTGAGTCGTGTGTGAGTAGGGTGTGTGTGTGAACAGTGCTAGTGGTCTGAGCAGTGTAACTGGTGTGTGCATGTGAGCTGTGTGTGAGTAGGGTGTGCCTGTGAGCAGTGTTAACGGTATAAGGAGCATGTGAGCTGTGGTGTGAGTAGTGTGTGTGGTGTGAGCAGTATACATGGTGCAAGCCATGTATGTGGTTGAAGCAGCATGTGTGGTGTGAGCTTCATGTGAGCTGTGTGTGAGCCATATGTGAGCAGTGTGTGCCTGTGAGCACTGTGTGAGCCATATGTGAGCAGTGTGTGCCTGTGAGCAGTGTTAGTGGTGTGAGGAGCATGTGGGCTGTGGTGTGAGCAGTGTGTGTGAGCAATGTGTGCTTGTGAGCAGTGTGTGTGGTATGAGCAGTGTGTGAGCCATATGTGAGCAGTGTGTGGCCATATATGAGAAGTGTGTGCCTGTGAGCAGCAGTGCTAGTGGCGTGAGGAGCACGTGGGCTGTGGTGTGAGCAGTGTGTGCCTGTGCAGTGTGTGGTATGAGCAGTGTGTGAGCCATATGTGAGCAGTGTGTGCCTGTGAGCAGTGTTAGTGGTGTGAGGAGCATGTGGGCTGTGGTGTGAGCAGTGTGTGTGGTATGAGCAGTGTGTGAGCAGTGTGCATGGTGTGAGCCAGGTATGTGGTTTAAGCAGTGTGTGTGGTGTGAGCTTCATGTGGGCTATGAGCAGCGTGTGTGGTGTGAGCCATGTGTGAACTGTGTGCATGAGCAGTGTGTGTGGTATGAGCTGTGTTGTGAGCCCCATGTGTAGTGTGAGCTGTGTGTGCGTGAGTAGTTAGTGTGGCTCTGTCTCCAGTGGGGTGTGAACAGTGTGGGTTCCAGGAGGGTTGTGTGGTGTGAGCACGCTTTCTGCGTGTACCCCAAGTCTTCTGAAGGCAGACCCTCCTTGACTTGCTCATCTTCACAAAGGTGTGTGGACCCCTGCCAGGTAGGCACATAGAAGGGAGTCCCACAGTCCTGACATTCGGGTCCTTGGAGTTTGGGATGTTGGCGAGCACAGTGGGGGCTGAAAGCATGTGGGCTCTACGCTTGAAGTTGCCTGGCCTCCACAGTGGCACAGGAGGCAGTCTCCTCCACGCAAGGGAGGGGATGTCCAAGGTGGACCTGGAATAAGGTTTTGGGAGAGTAGGATTTTCAAGGGGACCTTAGAGATGAGGCAGGAAGGGTCTGCCAGGTGCAGGACAGCAAGCCAAGAATCTTCTATCCCCTGCTGTGCCTGAGCGTGGTGGCCACCAAGGCAGGGTGTGCGTGTCACATGTTGTATGCTGTCAGGGCACTGATGATGTGTGTGGTGGGGCTACTGCGGGGTTCTGTGCACAGGGCGGGAGATGTGCTCGGGCCTGTGGTGTGCAGAGTTTGTGGGGCACTGGCGAGTGGTGCAGGGTGAGGGCTGGAGCCTCAAGGGCTGCTCTGTGTCCCCACTCAGCTGGCTGCCACCTTCTCTCCTTTCTTTCTACCTGAGCAGTTCCGGTATAAGCGACGTGTTTACGCCCAGAACCTCATCGATGACAAGCAGTTTGCAAAGCTTCACACGAAGGTAAAGAGCCAATCAGCAGGAGGGGGCCCCAGATGCCACCCTGTCCCTGCTGCTGCCTCCATGGGGCCAGTGAGCCCCCACTCACTGCCTTTTACCAGCTCCCTTCTGGAGGTGCCTCCTCACTCCAGCATCCCCACCCCAGCCGGGTGCACACACAGCTCACACTGCCACCCCAGCCGGGTGCACACACAGCTCACACTGCACATGGGGCTCACACCACAGCTCTCCAGCTCCAGCTTGGTCTGTTTCTCTGGTGCTCAGGGGCTCAGGGGCTTGCCTGGGGGTAGCTGGAGAGCCCGGTGGTGGGGGTGAGGGTGGACCCCTCAGGTGGGCGCTGTGGCTTAGGATGATAGGAATGGGCTGGCATTGGGGATGGAGTGCTCAGGGCCCTGGTGAGAACCTGGATGGGAGACTGGTTGACAAGCTCAGGTGGAAGATGGACCTGGTGATGGATCTTCCTGTTAATTCTCTATGGGAGGTACTGTCACTGCCCCACTTGCAGAGGGGGAAACTGAGTCACAGAGAAGGGAAGTGCTTGCTCACAGCTGTACAGCCAGTGGGGCTGGGTTGTTGTGACTGTGCTCTGGGACTTGGGGCTTAACGTTTGTGCTTTTCCCAAGTCACGCTGGTGGGAGTCTGTACTGCTGGGTATCCCCTGGGTAGGGCTGACCCAAATGCCTGTGCTCTTGGCACGCACTTCTCTGCCCTTCTGAATGTAGGAGGGGGTTGAGGGATGAGCTGATTCCTGCCTGGGTGACTTTGGACTCTGCTGGGTGGGGCAGGTTGGGGTGCCGTGTCAGGAGAGGGCTCTGGGGGCAGTGGTGAGGTTGAGTGGGACACACTTGGGGGTACAGCCAGGGCATCCTTGCTGGGCCCAGGCTGGCAGTGGGTGGGTTTGGGGATCAGGTTACAGGGAGGGCGTGGCATTGTGTGGACTGAGTTGAACTGGGCTCAGGGTGACGTGGGTATAGGTGGAAGCCCTGACTGAGGGTGACACAGGTGGATGGCAGGCTCAAATGACAGTGGCCCGAGACTGGCCACAGGCAGGTGGGCATGGCAGGCCAGTGGGCAAGGGCGTGGCTGACAGGCAGGTGTGTGCTCTAGGCAAACCTGAAGAAGTTCATGGACTACATCCAGCTCCACAACACAGACAAGGTGGCTCGCTTGCTGGACAAGGGGCTGGACCCCAACTTCCACGACCCTGATTCAGGAGGTAAGGAGTCAAGCATTAAGGTGAGAGCAGGCAGGACTTTCGGCCGCAGGCCTCGGAGGGGCGGGTGTAACCTTGATCGCCCTCTGTCCCCTGCCCTGGACCCAGAATGCCCCCTGAGCCTTGCTGCCCAGCTGGACAATGCCACAGACCTACTGAAGGTGCTGAAGAATGGTGGCGCCCACCTGGACTTCCGCACCCGAGAAGGGCTGACGGCTGTGCACTGTGCCGCCCGGCAGCGGAATGCGGCTGCCCTGACGGTTAGCAGGGCCCCCCTTCCTCGTGGGCACGTGGGTGGGGGGACAGTGGGGCCATGTGAATGCTGAGGCTCCTTGCCCCCAGACCCTGCTGGACCTGGGGGCATCTCCCGACTACAAGGACAGCCGCGGCCTGACGCCCCTGTACCACAGTGCCCTGGGGGGCGGGGATGCCCTCTGCTGTGAGCTGCTCCTCCATGACCACGCCCAGCTGGGGGCCACTGATGAGAACGGCTGGCAGGAGATCCACCAGGTGGGCCTGAAGCTGCAGGCGGGGGGCTCTGTTAGGGGAGGGTCCTGGCCTGTGCAATATCTCTTCTTCCTCCAGGCCTGCCGCTTTGGCCACGTCCAACACCTGGAGCACCTGCTGTTCTATGGAGCTGACATGGGGGCTCAGAATGCCTCAGGGAATACGGCCCTGCACATCTGTGCCCTCTACAACCAGGTAGGCCTGTGTGTGAGCACCCACAGCGCCCTCTGCAGCCAGCACAGCTGTGTGTGCTGCACATGCTTCCTACATATCAGGGAGGTGTGGCTGCATGTATGTGCAGGTGTGTATGCAGGATCCTTTGTGTACGTGCACAGTGAAGCATGAATATGTGTACGTGTATGTGTGTCTCATTCTGTGTGTTTGTGTACACTGAGATGTGACTGTGCACATGCATGTGCATGTGTGCTGCATCCATGCATGTGTACACTGAGACATGACTGCATACATGCACGTGCATGTGTGCTGCATCCTCTGTGTGTACAGTGAGGTGTGAGTGCATATAAATATGTGTCTCATTCTCCATGTATGTGTACACTGAAGTGTGATTGTGCACATGTATGTGTGTCTCATTCTTCACGAATGTGTACACTGAGACGTCACTGCATCCTCCGTGTTGTATAGTGACGTATGAGTGCCTGTACGTGTATGTCTCATTCTCCATGTACATGTACACTGAGGCGTGAGTGTGCACATGCACGTGTGTGCATGCTACATTCTCCATTTGTGTGCAGTGAACTGTATGTGTATGTTTGTCTCATTCTTCATGAATGTGTACAGTGAGGCATGACTGTGCACGTGCATGTGCGTGTGTGCTGCATCCATGCATGTTTAAAGTGAGGTGCGAGTGCATGTATGTGTATGTGTGTCTCATTCTTCATGTATGTGTACACCGAGGCATGACGATGCACATGCACTTGTATGTGTGCTGTATCCTCTGTGCAGGGAGGCGTGTGTGTATGGGTGTCTCATTCTTCATGAATGTGTACAGTGAGGCATGACTGTGTTCACACATGTGTGTGTGCTTCATCCTCTGCAGTGAGGCATGTGTATATGTGTGTCTCATTTTTCATGGATGTGTACACGGAGGCGTGACTGTGAACATGCACATGTGTGTGCTGCATCACCCATGTGTGTATAGTGAGGCGTGAGTGCACATACATGTATGTGTGTCTCATTCTTTATGTACATGTACACTGAATCATGACTGTGCACATGCATGTGTGTGCTATATTCTTCATGTGTGTGCAGTGACACGTGTATATGTGGGTCTTACTCTTCATGAACATGTACAGTGAGGCATGACTACACATTCACGTGTGTGTACCGCGTCCTCTATGTGCAGTGAGGCGTGTGTGTGTATGTGTGTGTCATTTTCCAGGAATGTGTACAGTGAGGTGTGACTCTGTATACGCATGTGCGTGTGTGCTGCATCCTCTGCGCAGGGATGCGTGTGTGTGTATATGTGTCTCATTCTTCATGAATATGTACAGTGAGGCGTGACTTTGCACATGCATATGTGTGTACTTCATCCTTCACATGTGTGCAGTGAGGTGTATGTGTATATATGTCTCATTCTTCATGAATGTGTACACTGAGGTGTGTCTGGGCACATGCATGTGCGTGTGTATTGCATCCTCTGTGTGTATATAGTAAGGCGTGTGTGTATGTGTGTCTCATTCTTTATGAATATGTATAGTGAGGCATGACTGCACATGCACATATGTGTGTGCTACATTCTCTGTGTGTGTAGTGAGACTGTGTATATGTGTCCCATTTTTCGTGAATGTGTACAGTGAGGCATGACTGAAGATGCATGTGCATGTATGCTGCATCCTCCATGTGTGTGCAGCGAGACATGTGTATGTCTCATTCATGTACGTGTACACTGAGGCTTGACTGCACATGCACATACGTGTGTGCTGCATCCTCCATGTGTGTACAGTGAGGCATGTGTGTATGTGTGTCTCATTCTTCATGGATGTGTACAGTGAGGTGTGACTACATGTATGTGTATGTGCGTGTGAGCTGCATCATCTATGTCCATGTACAGTGAGATGACTGTATGTACAGTGAGATGTAAGCATACGTACATGTGCAAATGTATGACACCTGTTATGTACTTGTAAAACGAGGCATGATTTTGTACGTGTACAGTGAGGTGTGGTAGTGTCTATACATGCATGAGTGTGGATTCCTTATCCATCTTAAATGGGTACAGTGAGGTGTGACTGGATGTATGTAAGTGTGCATGTGTGCCTCATTCTCCATGTGTGTGTACAGTGAGGGATTGTGCACATCTAGGCATCTGTTTGTAGCATTGAACTTCTTTATGCATGTAATTTGGGTATGTGCATAGAGGTGAGCCAGTAAGGTGAGGCATTTATTTGTCCGCCACACTGGAGACCTCTGCTGCTGACATTGTCTGTGTGTGTGCTCTGTGCCCTGTGGTGTGTTGTGGCTGTACTGTAGCCTTGTAGACCTGTACATGCACACTGTTTCCCTGGGCACACACCTGTGCCACATGTGTATACCTGTGTTCTGAAGAACCTGGGTGAACTCTACATGTCTGAACCAGGTGGGGCTCTGTGTGTGCACCCGGGCCTGCTTGTCCATGTCATCTGTGTACTCTCGTGCCCCAACATGGGGTGTGATGAGTGTGTGTGCACCTGCCTCCAGACTTGATTCCTGGCACTGTGGGTGTGCACACGGGGGTAGCATCCCACCCTGAAGCCATTTCTCTGGACCACACTGTCCTGACCAGTGTTCCTTCTCTTGCCACCCAGGAGAGCTGTGCCCGTGTCCTTCTCTTTCGTGGTGCCAACAAGGATGTTCGCAATTACAACAGCCAGACAGCTTTCCAGGTACTGGTGGTCTGGGCTTCAGGAGGCTGAGCCTGGCATGTGTACCCATCTGTCTGTCTGTGTCTGCATGACTTGCTCTCTCTGGACGTTGGCTCTCACCTGGGAAGCGCTCAGGGGGGCCCCTTTCCCAGATTGCACTGGGTGGGGTGCAGGACGGAGGCCAGAGGGGTGTGTAAGGAGGAGTCCCAGAGATAGTTTCCCCACCCCTTCCTGGGAGAGAGAAGAGCCAGAAGGTATGGAGGAGGTGATGAGGATGAGGTGTCAGCCAGACCCCAGAGGTAGCTGGGCGTAGAGGCTATGCTGGGGTGCTGTGAGCTGCCATGGGCATGGTCCCGAGCCCCTTGTCCTTGAGGCTGGGGCCTGGAGTTTGCTGAGTGAGGCCACATCATGGGCCCTTTGGGTGTGGGATGGGTTGGGACTCTGTTCTCGGTGGTGAGAAACCTGTGGTGGTCTCTGAGGTCTCAAAGGACCAGTCTCACAAGAGGACACGTGAGGGGCTTCGAGGCTGCGGTGGTGTCTGTGTTGGGTGTCTCCTAGGTGGTGGCTGAGGGGACGTGTAAGCAGGCATGGGCGTGTCGGAAAGTGGCCACTGGCAGGAGTGTGGGGCTGCAGTGGTGTGTCTGCTGAGCTGGGACAGGCTGAGTGCCCTGGAGGGTGTAGGGGCGAGTTCCATGCCCCAGCTCAGTCCTAAAAGGCCTGTGTCCCAGGAAGCCCCTCAGTCCGGGAAAACCAGGACAGTGTAGGGGAGTTAGATGGGGCTTGTGTAGCCAGGAGGAGCTGGGGTTTGAAGGGTGCGCCCTGGGTCCCAACTGAGGAAGGCCCCTGGAGAAACCTGCGAAGGTTCAGGGATGGGTGGCGGGAACCAACCCCCACTTGGTGACCTGTGGCCCAAATCTGGAAAAATCAGCTCCTGTCCCCTTTGCACCCCAAGAGGCAGGTCTGTCTTGGGGGCCCAGACTCTGGCCCATGTCCTCCTCACACCCCCTCAGCGCTTTGCCCCGACTGACAGGCCTCAGGGGTCTCTGGACAGCCCAGTCCCCTGTCCAGCCCAGAGTGGCACACAGTAGGCACCCAGCTGGTGCTTGTGGACTGAGTGGTTGCCTCACCGTTGGTGTGACACACCATGCCCTTCTCCCTACCCCACCCCGCTCTGCCCCCAGGTGTGACATGTTCATACCCTTCTTCACCCTGCTCTGCCCCCAGGTTGCCATCATCGCTGGGAACTTCGAGCTTGCTGAGGTCATTAAGACCCACAAAGACTCCGACGTTGGTGAGTCCTCCTGTGACCACTGAGCGTGCTCCCGCTTCTCTCTGCGGGTCAATGGCCCCGCAGGGTGTGGATGGTGAGGGATGGAATGTGTGCAGGTGGACAGAAGTTTAGGGTCAGGGCCAGTGGGTCCCGTCAGGGGACTGGCTGGGGACACAGCTGTGGTTCTCGGCCACTGGCTCTTGTGTGAGCTCCGTGAAAGGCAGAGGGACGTGAGCACAGCGGGGAGTGGGTCAGGCCTGGACTGGCCCAGCCTGCCTCTGGGTGCAGGGTCCCCTAGGCCCCCAGGGTGTGGGGGCTGAGGAAGAAGAGCAGGGTGGGGCAGGGCGGTTTCCCAGGTGCCTCGTCCCTTGTGTGGCAAGGCTGGGCTGGATGTGTCTGATCACACAGGGGACTCCCTTCCTGGTCCTCTGTGTCCTGGGCACAGGGCCATGATTTTTGTGGCTCTCTCTGGAACACACTTTTCACCTTCCCCTCCTGCCACAAGCACTCACTTGTGTGGGTGGCATGGGGTCCACTTTTTGAAGTTAAATGTGACAGTGGGCAGCAGAGGGTAGGGTTAGGGTCCTGTGTGGTTCACGTGAGGTTAGGGTTAGGGTTGAATTTTGGCCTATTGTTAAAGTAAAGGTCAAGTTCCCTGAACAGACCCCTCCCCTGATGAGGCAGGTACATGATGTCTGAGCCCTCCATCTGCCCAGGGTGCGGACAGACCCCAGGGCGGACCCTGTCCACTCAGCAACTCTTGCTGATGGGGCCTTGTGGGCTTCATATGCAGGTTCTGGCTTAGACAGACTGTGGCGAGGTTTGGGGCTGGTCTGGGCTGCAGCAAGCCCGGCAGGGCCCTGGTTGAGGCTCACCGGGCCCTCCTGGGCGTGTACATGCCCAGCCTGGGACAGCCGCTTAGCTCTGTGTCTGTTTAGCTGAAGTAAAACATGATCTTTTTGTTTACTTGCATCCCCTTCCTGCTTGACCTCCTGGGGGTCAGGGCTATTGGGTTGTGGCCAAGGGAAGGGCTGGGCAGCTGGCCTCGTTAGACCTGGCCCCAGAGGCCCAGTGATCTTGTCTTGTTTGTAGACAAAGGCACACTGCCCAGCCTCAGCCCTTCAGGGCACTGGCCTGAGACAGGCAGGCAGTCCTGGGGTCATAGCCGCTGGCCCACTTGGTCCTGATCCCTAGTCAGTCAGTCAGGGGTTGCTTATATGTCAAATGAGATGCATTGCTATGGACGTTTGCAGGATCTCTCTGTAGCCCTACTATCTGTATCGCTCAGTGACCCTGAGGGCTGGTTTGCAAAGGGGAAACAAGTATAGTAAGGGTCCATGGCAGAGGGGGGTTCGGGAGTCATGCAGGGTCACAAGGCACTGTGCACTGCACAACCCTGTCCCTGGGGGTCAGCACTCGGGGGGAGTGGGGGAGGCTCTGCTCCTCCGCCTGCTTCCTTTCCGGGGGGCATGCCTGGGGGTCATGTGGGCTGGGACTCTGGGTCACCCTACAGAAGACAGGCCCTGTCCTGCTCTCCATGGCTGCCTCACTGCCTGGGCACACGCCCTCCTCGGGGACTGCCCCGTGCACTTTTGATGAGAGCCTGGAGTGTTATTCACTGTGATGTACGTTGGGTTGCCTGGATCTTGTTAATGTGACAGGTGGGCGGGTCCAGTGCCCCACCAGCTCCCAGGAGAGCCAGACTGTGGTCCCGGGACTACATTGAGTAACTGGAGTCTGGGACAGGTTGAAAACCATGGCTTGCAGTCCACCCAGCCCCTGCAGCATGTGTCTTTTGTATAATTTTTTGTGGTAAAATACAAATAACCAAACATTTGCCGTTTTAACCATTTTTACAGTTGATTAAAGGACCCTTCAGTGGCATTATCACCATTCATCATGTTGCCCAAACATCACCACTGTCTGTTCCCAAACAGACATTTCTGTCCCCCCTTCAGCAGTCACTTCCCACTCCCCTCCCCACAGGCCCTGGTACCCTCTAATCTCCTGTCTGTGTCTCTAGGTTTCTAGACTAGATGTTTCATGTCAGGGGAGCATACGATGTTTGTCCTTCGTGTCTGTTTTGTTTCCATCAGCATCATGTTTTCGAGGTTCACTCACATCATAGGATGTATCAACTTCATTTCTCTCGTGGCTGAACCGTACCACATAATACATATGTACCACATTTTGTTGATCTGTCCATCTGTCTATGGATGGATGCTTGAGTGGTTTCCATCTTTTTGGCTACTGTGAAGGATGCAGTAGTGAGCTTGGTGTACAGGTGTCTGTCTGAGTCCCTCCCTTCAGGTCTTTTGGGTAGAATCCTAGGAGCAGAATTGTTGGGTCATCGTAATTCTGTATTTAACTTTGTGAGGAACTGCCCAACTGTTTTCACAGCAGCTGCAGCATTTCACATTCCCACTGGCAGTGAGGGTTCCTTTACCCACATCCTCGCCAACACCTGCTATTTCCTGTTTTTCTTCTGATCGTAGCCATCCTGGCGGGTGTGAAGTGGTATCTTGTGGTTTGATTCTGCTTTCCCTGATGACTAGTGATGCTGAGTATCTTTGCATGTACTGATTGGCCAGTCATGTTTCTTGTTTGGAGAAATGTCCATTTTTCATTGGGCTGTCTTTGAGGTGTTGGAGTTCTTTGTATTCTGTGGATAATAAGCCCTAGACAGTTATATGGCTACCAGATGTTCTATGCATTCTGTAGCTTGTCTCTTCGGTTTCTTGATAAAGTCATTTCATGCACAAAAATTTTAAATTTTGAGGAAGTCTACTTTTCCCTCTTACTGCTCATGCTTTTGGTGTTGCTTCTAAAAACTCATCAAAAACAAGGTTCTGAAGGTTCACCCCTGTTTTCTTCCAAGAATTGTATGGCTTAGTGCATGTATTTAGCTTGCTGGTCCCTTGTGAATTAATTTCTGTACATGGTGTGAGGTTGGGGTCCAGCTTCATTCCCTTGCATGTGGGGATCCAGTTGTCCCAGCACTGTTTGTGGCGGAGGCTGTTCTTGCTGCATGGAGTGGATTTGGCACCTTGTGGAAAGTCAGTTGGCCGTAGATGGGAGGGTTGATATCCAGATCCTCAATTCTGCTCTGCTTCATGTGTCTGTCTTTTTAGCAGCACTAGCCTGTTTTGATTACTGTACCTTTATTATTTTTAAGTTGGGAAGTGTGAGTCCTCTTAACTTGTTCTTTTTCACAGTGGTTATGGGTGGTCACAGCCTCTTGCAGTTCCCTGTGAAACTGGGGATCCATTTTTCCATTTCTGCAAAGAATGCTGTTGGCATTTTGAGTAGGATCGCACTGTGTGTATGTACCGCTTGGGTAGTGTGAGCTCGTAACAGTGTGGAGTCTTCCATCCATGAAGACTGGATGCCCTTCCGCTTAGTTGGGTCATCTTTGGTTTCTCTCAGCAGTGTGTTATAGTTTCCAGTGTACGAGTTTTTCACCCTCCTGGTTAAGTTTATTCCTAGGTGTTTGTTCTTTTAGGTTCAGCTGTAAATGGAATTGTTTTCTGAGTTTCTCCTGCAGGTTGGTCGTTGCTGTCATATACAAACTGTGAGATTTTGGCTATTGGTCTTGTACTGTGCACCTCGCTAGACTCATGAGCTCTGGTTGCTTTCTCATGGACTCCTGGCATTTTCTCCTAGAGGGTTGTGTTGCCTATGAATCCAGAAAGTTTTACTTCGGCCAGTACATGCTTTTTAAATAAAGTTCTGTTGGGCCTCAGCTGACGCATGCACTCCTGCACTGTCCATGGCCACTTTCACGCTGCAGGGGCAGAGTTGCGTGTGCAGTGCGACCTATTGGCCTGCAAAGCCTGACACTTACTGTCTGGCTCCTGACTGAGAAGTTTGCTGACTTCTGGTCCTGATGTCTTTTGTGGTTGGCCTGACGGTGGTCACCACAGATGGTCCTGCACAATGGAAGTCTAGTGGGGACAGTCACAGGTGGCCTGGTCTGGAACGGCCATCTTGAGAGCAGATCTGAAGGTCCTCAAGGCCTCAGTGGCCTGAGGACACAGAGCTTCAGGAGGTGCAGGCTCCTGCCGTGGGAGTGAGAGTCACCCGCAGGCAGATCAAGAGTGACTGGGATGTGGCCCCTCGGCAGCCCCTCCTGCTGTATGTTGACCAGCTCTCCTGGGGTCTTGGGACACAGGATCTTTAGTGTTGAAACCAGGACAAGTTGGTGACTCTTTGGCTGCCTAGCGTCTCATCCATTCTCCCTCCCTCAGTGCCATTCAGGGAAACCCCCAGCTATGCGAAGCGGCGGCGGCTGGCTGGCCCCAGTGGCCTGGCATCCCCACGACCTCTGCAGCGCTCGGCCAGCGACATCAACCTGAAGGGAGACAGGCAGCCGGCAGCCTCTCCTGGGCCCTCGTTGCGGAGCCTTCCTCACCAGCTGCTGCTGCAGCGGCTGCAGGAGGAGAAAGATCGGGACCGGGCTGCAGAGCAGAAGGACGTCGGGGGCCATGCGGCATCTAGGGGCGGCCAGAGCACCATCAGGTAGGGGTCGGGCAGCCTTGGGGGGGGGTCGGCAGGCAGATCCTGAGCTCGGCCCAGAGGATCCTGATGGGGCTCGAAGTGGGGTCCTGGACCTCCAGGCAGGCCTCAATGGATGGAGGAGTTTAGAAAGTGGGGTCCCGGGGATCGGGGACAGCTTATCCCACCTGTGATCTCAGGTTGGAGGGGGACTTCTCTGGTGAAGGTCTTGGGCCTGTGGCCGAAGAGGGTCACTACAGTGTTAGGCATGAGGGAGAGAGCTAGGTGAGACTGTCCCAGACAGCTCCAGGTCCAGGCAGGTACTGAGGATGACAGCTGGATGAGGAGAGCTGTCTCTCCATGAAGGCTTGGCACCTTCACCAGCCCAAGTGGGGAGTCTCAGACTGCACCCTCACTAGCCCTGCTCCCCAAGTGGGGACTCTCAGACTATACCCGCAAGGCCAGGACTCCCACAGTGCTCTGGCATCTGCTTTCTTTCCTCCACTCAGCCTGGGTCTAGGGGACCCCAGAACTTGGAACAGGACTCCATGGGTGAAGGCCTCTGGCCTCTGTGGGCTGGGCCTGCAGGGGCACCATCTCTGTGATGGGCCATCAGGCCAGGCTCATTCTTGTGTCTACTGGTTCTGTGACCTTGGACAAGTTGCTTGGCCCCCGTGTGCCTTGATGCCTACTAGGAAGATAGGGCACCTGTGCAGGTACAGGCTCTCCTCAGGACTACCTGTGCCACCTTGGCCTGGCTCCTGCTCCTTAAGGGATCTCTCTCCACCTTGGGAGCTTCCTGTCATCACAGGGCAGGAACCCCCTTCCCTGCTTCCTGCAGTTCCCCGAGCTTGGCATGTAGAAGGGGGTCAGAAGGTGCTGTTAAATGAATGGGTTCCATAGACCACAGGTGGTTCCCAGACTGACAGCCAGCTTTGACAGTTATTATTCTATGCTGGGCTGAGCAATGTGGATTCTTTCCTACTGGGATGTATGGGGTGGAACTGGGCTGGTGCTGTTTTGCAGATGAGAACCCTGGGCCCAGGAGGGGTAGTGACTTACCCGGAGTCACAGAGCCAGTAGGCACTCTGCCAGGCCCAGGTAGACCTGTCTCACTCCCACACTCCAGACCTGAGTGGAGTGTTCAGCAAAGCCTTCTGCCCTCTGCCCTCATCCCTGCTCACCTGGCCCTGCTGCTGTCTGTGTCTCTGCCCCACTAGGGACCATTCCCTGCCTGACTCCAAGGCAGTCTGTCCCCCTAATCTTCTGACCTCCTCATGCTTTTGCATAGACCCTGGGGTTTCCTAAGGGTGCAACAGTCCAAGGACAGGCTCTGGATTTTTCTGTCTCTCATGGTGTTGTACGTGCTGTGTCCACATTCCTTTCAGCAGGCCCAGGCTCACCTGCTCTGTGGGGACAGCCAGATTCTCATTTTCACAGCATGTGCTGGGTGCCTGTGTGTGCCCCACCTTGGTGGAGAGTGGTAGGATCTGGCTGCATCGCAGGTCTTAGGAGGGAGGACGGAGGCAGCTGGGTCCTAAGGGCTAAAGTGATGAGGTGGGCAGTGGTCTAGGTAGGGGAGCCGCCCTGGTGGGTAGCTGAGGGTTTGCAGCCCTCAGGAGGGCTGAGGAGGAGGAAGAGGGCCTGCAGGGAGATGTCTTTTGGTCAAAGCAGGAAGGCCACCAGGAGGTGGCATGTGAGTCTGGAGGTACTTGTGGGTGCCCTCCGGCGCCCCCTGTTGGCAGAGCCTGTCAGGAGCAGCAGCATCACAGCCAGAGGACGGGTTAATAAGGGCCCTAGGAGCCAGGTTTAGAGACGCTCAGGTGTTGGGAAGGGAAGGTTCCCAGCCAGGTAACTGGAGCGCAGGCATGTGGACCTGGCCCAGGTGCTAGGGAGCCAGTGCAGGCTATTGAGCAGGGAGAAGCTGGAGGGCCTCGGCCTCCGGCTGGGTGCCAGGAGGATGGAGTGGGCAGCCAAGGTGGTGAGCACAGAGCGGGCATGTTCCAGCGCGTCCGGG